CCAGTTTATGCCAGTATATTCAGGGTGGAATCGACAATGCATTTCCCCAAATAGATGAGGTAGCAGACATAATTGTACGAAAGTCTTTAAAGAAGGTAAGCAAAAGCATTGAGTAGTGGTAATTACAACACAATGATCTGGTTAGTGGTTTCTGCACTTCACTTGGTAATATTAGAATTCTGTTTTTAGGGTTTGTAATCCAAGTGAATATATATAATTACATTTTAGGACCTAACCAGGAATAACTGCGAAAAATGCAGCACAAGGTCCTCTGGTAGGAATTGAGAGGACCTTGTGCTGAATTTTTCACAGTCGTTCCTGGTTAGGTCTTAATATATTATATATATATATATATATATATATACTCACTTGGATTACAAACCTTAAAAACAGCATTCTAATTACAACACATTTTAATTTGAGCAGTATTTTTAAGCCCTTTTTCAAGACCATTGAAAAACACTACACTACCCTACTATTGCATACATTCATTGTAAATTTTAGTTGCAAGAAGCAAAGACCCAGCTTGATGTCAACAAATGTTGAACTGAATGCGAGTGGAAAGTAGATATAGATGGATTGCCTTTAAAGATCAATCTCAATGAAAGACACATATTGGTTAATGAAATCACCAAGTACTATGTCATCATTAGATGTAAATCTATGCTGGATCAATTTATCCAAGGCCTTTCATATTATGGGGTTTGATATTTTCATACTATTTACCGTACTATTTGTGTAATAACTACAGTATGTCACCCGATTTTTCAGAGTTAATAAAAAAAGCATGGCCGGAACTGGAACTCTGTTGTTTTCAGAGAGATAGAATATCAAACGTTTTTGTGTCTAACAAAAGTTCACAGTAGGAAGTCATTTGGAGTACACAAGGAAAATATGCACCATTAACATTTCATTATGACGTTTAATGTTTGTCAATATTTTTATTCTAATGTATGGCTTAATAAATCAGTTCCGGTTCCGGCCGAAACTTTTCAGTTCTGGCCGGAACTTCAAAAATTAGTTCCGGTGCACCCCTAAAAACGTCTGATTAACTAATTGGCACACATAGGTGTATGGATAACAAAATTTTAGGGGGCAGCCGATTTTTGCCTGATGTGACCCCACCCAGTTATTTTGCCCGATGGTGAGCTAAAAATTGCCCAACTGGTTCTATAACTATTGGTTCTAAAAATTGCCTGGTTGGGTCAAAATTAGGAGCCCCCCCCCCCCTTGTACACCTATGCTGACTGTATAATTTGAGATGACAACTATTTCTTCACAGGTATTAGATTTTATCAGAAGCAGTAAAGGGATGGCTCATCATCTATTTTCTTGCAAGAAAGGTGGCAAAGTGAATGTTCAACAGGTGATAAAAACATTGAAGCCTGCTTTTTCACCACAAGGAAACCAGCGAAGAGTTAAAGAAGAAATAGTGATGGCAAAATTCATTGCCTTTTTAAAATCAATTGAAGGTAAACATTTTTAAATACTAACTTACAATACATGAGCAGGGCTCGAAACTTGCGGTATCCGGATATCCACAGGATATCAGATTTTAATTTTGAATACTGGGTATCATAAGCTCAGTATCCCAACTGGATACTAGGAAAACTTAGAAATTGCTATAGTAGATAATAATCTAGACTTTGGGCATGTTTCCGAACTTCAATGTCTACGGATTTTGGCAGAATATTTTAAAAAAAAATAAATTTCACAAACAGTGCTTTCTTTCGTATCGCCGCAGTGTGTTATTTTCAATTTTTTCGAATTTCAATACACATTTTTATTATTGAAACTAAAGGCCTGGTTTTTGTTCAGCAACTGAAGGCCTGGTTGCAAGGTAAAATTTTGCCTTGCTTAGATACTGGAAATAGAATATCTAGTATCCAAATCTGAGTTACTATATTTCAAGGATGGATACTAGATTCTATGATGCTGGCATCCACTTGGATACTGACAAAAATTTCAAGTTTCAAGCCCTGCATGAGACTTTTAACAGTGGAAATTAATGCATATTGTTTTCTATTTCAGATGGTACTTTACAGGAGTGCTTAGAAGACAGTGATTTGAAATTAACCGAACAAGAGAAAAGCATCATTCCTTTGTTGACACCAAGCCATATGCTACTGTTTGCAACTGGGGCAGCCAACACACCATCTATTGGTTTTGATCCGAAACCAATGATAACCTTTGTTCATGATGAGGGAAAGTCTATTCCTAGTGCGCAAACCTGCTCCAATGCATTATATTTATATGTCAATGATAAAACAACAAATGGTGACTTATCACATGACCTCCTTACAGCATTAATGAATGGAAGCATTTTCAGCAAATTGTAAAACTAATAATTAGGAAATTGAACAGTTCAATAATATGTTATTGGCACTATAATTGAACATTAAGTTTAAGGTGGAATACTTATATACATTATTTAATCATTGTATAAGTTGTTATTAAAAAGTTTTGTTATTTTGTTAAGTTTGTTAACAGAACCAGTTATCAACTTGTCATTCGACCCCCATCCTCACCCAGGGAAACATGGGGACTGGACCTTTGTAGACCCAGATGCCAGAAAATGCCCCACCTATGGGTGTAATCAGAGTGATTAAGTTTCATTCTCACACATCATTAGATATTCATAGCATTTCGGCCAATGACATGGTGTAATTTACATCACGTGTATCTATCTGGATACCCCGTCTAGACCAGGACTTTAATTACTTCAAGTGGGAAGGGCTTTAAACAATAGGGAAATTGAGGGGTAAACAAAAGATTATACAAATATATTTAATTGCTGTGTTTAGAATTATTTCTAAATACAGTAAGCTGTATTAAGAAATTTTTTCTAACTACACTTTACATCTAACACTTTTTCTGAACGTTCGAAAACTACATAAATATACGAAAAAGAAAATACAATTTATTTCCAACTATCATAATAAACAGCGCTTTAAACACTACAGCAATAATACAGCAACTTACCAGTAAATCAGTAATGTTTACCGTCTAATACAGCATATTCGCTTCGCGGCTCTTCCATATTTTCCACCAGACAGCGCCTTATCGCACATACAATCTGATATATCGTTTTTTCGGGGTACGGATTTCCATCCTTGCCAGCGAGTGGCTTTCTTTACATTTTCAATACACAATACTGTGCTCAACACTTTCCCATGCATTCTCGAAACCGCTTTTTCTTATAAGAAGATGCCATGCTCTTTTGCAAACAACTATTCATCTATGCACGACGAAAGCGAACTGAATGCTTCGTTACACTTCATGCAAATTTTCAAGCGAATGCAATCGTTAATCCCACGCTCACTATTTTGAATATCTAATAATTTCATGCCTCATGGCTATGAATATCTAATGTTGTGTGAGAAGCAATTTCAAATCCTCGTTAGTGCTTTAAACTTGGCTTCCAAATCCCCAGTGCCATGAACAATGGCTCGGCTGCGCCTCGCCATTGTTCATGGCACTTGTATTTAGAAACCACGTCTAAAACACTAACTCGGATTTGAAATATTACTTATAAAATATATTTAAATTAATAGACTTAAATATTTGAGGGTACCGTATTAAAACCTTTTAGAGCGAACAGCTAATGGTTATGCTCTATGTTTCCCTGGGGTAGAGGTTTCCAATGACAAGTAAACTGTATTTATGGCAAGTAGCCTAGCCTTCTGCAATTTCGCATAACCTGTTATATTGATCCAAACATTCTCTCCAATTCGTTGGTTCACCTAAATGAAGTTGCTCGAAAATCTCACCAAAGTATTCCTGATACAAATTGTCTTCATTATATTCATGGCAATACTGAGACATATCATCAAATTGTTCATCTGTGACAGATTTTATGTAATTTCTACCACCTGAGCACTCGGGAAGAAAGTATAACTCGTCTGGTCTCCCGGAAATAGTATCAAATCTTGACTTTCGAATGTAATGAGAATTCCAGTGCAGCTGAACTGAAGATAGATCTTCTTGTAGAAGTTGATGGAAACAATACCACAAGCACTCTTTCTGTAGCTGATTGGATAAACTAAGATGACCTGCTTCGACAAGATCTTTAAAAAAATTAATCCACCAATTTGAGCGGTTTTTACGTAAATATGACCACCAATATTCAATGCGTTGATTTGATGGTGATGTACCATATCTGTGTGCTTTTTCACCAGCATATTCATCGTCCCCATTGCATCGAAAGTATGACTGCATAGCAGCCATAATAACATTTTCTGTACCATTGTCAGTTCGTAGTATAGTTGGACATCCCCCATATTCTCTAACAGCATTTAGAAAGTGTTGTCCAGTGATGGCTAGATCATTGTTTGTCCTACAAACCTTTAACCACAGCACTTTGCGACTGTAACCATCTATGCATCCATGCACAGGAAAACCATAAGGTTTCAGTTTATCGTATCCATCGACATGCCATGAATGGTTAGGGCCTGGTGTGTGATAAACTCGACGACGAAGTGTCTTAGATCTTCTTTCTGACACACCTTCAGGGTCAATTTCTAAACGAACAACTTCTCTTGGCACCTGAATACCTTCCATTTTTAATGTGTGCCAGACAGCACGGTACCCACCAGAGCAACCAGGACCGTCCAGTTCTTGCTGTATACGACGGCGGACGTGATCAATATTGTAATTAATGTTTTTCCTTTTAAGACCTAGGTCACGAAGTTTTGTATGCAATGTCCTTAGAGACATTTCAATGTCATGGTATTTCGATAAAAATGAGAGAATTTTCTGATAGTTGAACCCTCTCTTGAAGTAACGTTGTATAAGTTCCTCACATGTGGGAATTTCGGGTGGAACTTGATCCATTTTTCCAAAATATACCTCAATTTTTTAGTCCAAAACAAACCACAAACTGACGAACAGAGCTCTGCGAATTTTCGTTGTTGCATGTTTTCACAATCGCAAAATGGATAAATGGGTATAACAGGGGCAGACAGGGGTGTTCGCAAAATGTTCCTACATGATCCCTAATGTTCGCAGGTGCAACATTTTGTTGTGTATTGAGAATAAAATATATTTGCGTATCGAGTTTTCGTGTTCACGTTTCGCACGAAATTTATTCAGATGTTGTGAGATATGTTGTTGCGTATTTACCGAATTTATCGTGCACTGAAACGTATTTACGTGAACATATACTTCGAATTGTGTATTGAATATTTTGTTTGTGGATTTCAACTCTTGTTTGTGCACTAATATTTTCTTTTGTGTATTGCACATAGGGGCCACCGTACGTACTAGTTTAATTACGCTTTGTTTTCTTGAGCCTGTAGTGTCATTTGCCTTCATTTGCCTCCAGGAAGGTATGTTCTTTTACTGATCTTGAAATTCCGGTTTTGATATCATGTGATAAACGTCACTTGTTGTTTTTGCAAATTTCGCATGCGTGACAGAAATCAAAACTTGTCAGATGTCGGCACCGAATATGTAAAGAAGCTCTGCTAGCACTGCCTCCTCCGCAGGCCCTTACTATTTGTAGATCAGTGTATATATAGACATATCAGTTTAATATATAGATAAGTGGCTGAACAAATCTGTTGTGATGCATTGATAGCAAGCGACTGGGGACGAGGCAGCTGCTAGCACGGAAATCAAAGTCGCAGTGCGGGTCAATTATTTGCTCAATATTTGTACATCTGCTTAACAACGCCTCAATGGCAATGGCTCCACATGCACACCGAATTAAGACTTCACATGCTCTTGTAAATTGGTCTATTTTAATATAAATCAATATTAAATGTTGCCTGTTGCCTTTGGGTATATTCCTTCATTCTTAGCTGCAGCGTAGAAAGCCAATATAAACAATAGTGTCAAACTGGTAAAAAAACACACAATAAACGATGTTATATAACAAATAGAAGCTTACATCTGTTAGTTTACCGAGTATATTTTTAAATTTTTAACTAAATTATTACAGTATTTAGGCTATCAATCGCACATCCTTGTACGATGATTGGTTATTGCCTTCAATTTGTCTTCAATCTTTCGCGTGAAGTTGTATTAGTATGCAGTATATATATAACATTTTATAAAGATGTGTTTGTCTTGGATTTCAACTCAACACAAGAGATTTGTGACCAAAATGAACAACTTAGTGTTGTCTGAAATATCATCATGTCACTCCGGATAATTTGAATAGCTATATTCAGGAAGGCTCTCAATAAAGCGGATACAATAAAACACATTCTTCCCCCATAAAGTTAGTACAAACTTAAATTGTGCAATTCGCTATCCTGTCTAAATCTCCTTTTTTGTAGTCCCATTTTGTTTTGTTGTGTTTCAGGTGACATCTGTTCATCATTGAAGTCGCCTCAAGATGTCTTGCCTTGTGGTGACGAGAAAACATCTAAAGATTCCTGCTTGGCCATTGGCTGTTGTTGGAATGAGACCAAGTTAAACAACACACAGGCTTGTCACAGGTGCGTTGTCATGCTCAGTTTAATATAATCAGTGGCATAACGGGCGGGTGTTAGGATGTCCAGTGACGGGGGGCCCCCGAGCTTTGGGGCCCCCGGCAAAACTACCATAAAATTTGATAATACATTTCCAGGGAATTGAATAACGAAAAACAGAAAAGCAGTTTTTAAATACATGAATTAGTAGTTAGAAACTCGATCCAATAACTGTGTTTCCTTTTGGAGTTAGTTGACCAGCAAGTGCTAAAGTGGCACGTGGTTGAAACCCAGCTATACCGCTGTGCCTACCTCAAACTGATGAATTGTATACATAATGTTGTGGTAAACAATGCTGCAATAGCCTGCCACCTTCGAATGCAACTAAGACGTGCAAAGCCATTTGCATGGCGATAAAATGAAGTATCTAGTATTTCGTGCTAGCAGGTGGTTTCACTAAACCATATTCATTGGAAAACACATGGTGGATTGGTGGTCAACTTTGCACGTATTGTGTCTACAGATAATACAGTCTATTATTTGGTGGCCCAGAGGGAGGGGGCCCAAGAGTGGCCGATTGACGGGGGACCTCCAGAGGTTGCGTTACGCCACTGGTTATAATTGCACATCAAGGTTAGTAAAATTGTAAAGTTTGGCTGAAAAGTATCTAAAAATATCGACATTATGACCTCGTGAAGTTTGACAATTTTCAGTATTTTTGTATCGCGGTTCTAATATATTTTATACCTGCTTCCGCCTGAAATGGGTATAAGACAGTGGTATAAAATTAGAACCGCAATACAAAAACACTGAAAATTGTCAAACTTCGCGAGGTCATAATATCGATATTTCTAGATATTTTTCAGCCAATTTTACTGATTTGGAGGTGCTCTTTCCAGCTGTGGCGTTGGATTTTCTTTTCTTCGCTTTAATCGAGAATTTCACGATCGCTGAATTTATCTATAGCGGGGTCCAAACAAGAAATTATAAAATGAAAATCTCCGAAAGTTCTAAATTTCAAACTAACTAGATCTCACAAGTAGGTTAGTATAGGTAATCATGCGATGTTGCTGGTACAATTAGGGATTAATAGTACGAGTGATGTTTGAAAATTTTGCCAAAATTGGACGAGTCGCCGATTACTTGTTTATTATTAGCATGACAATTGTCAATGTCAACAACATACTCTCATCAAAGACCAGTCCTGCCAAACTTTCGGGAAGCCTCGCAGTGGCTCGGAAGATCTGCTCCAATTGGACAAAAGTTTTCTAAAGAACGAAACAATTCATTGTTATAAACACAAAAGCAATTGTCAAATGAAGCCAATGAAAATCCTTGTTCCGAGACACTGCGACCCTACCCATACTTTCAACCAAAATTTCGGGTGCTTTTGTTCGTATTTTTATTTAGTGCTTTTGCTTAAAGTTCCTCCAGGGCCATTTTATTTGTGCTTAAATACCTTTCCGCCATTTTTCTTTGTTTTTTGGAAAATCATTAATTGGACTGCAGTACAATATATGAAATAATTGTACTCCTCTCAATCCTCCCAATCAGTATCCAGTAATTTTGTCATGCTAATAATAAGTATGGTTATAAGGGAGAACGAGTTGTGTGGATTTGATTCTCAGTTCCTCAGAATTGTAAATTTCATCGGCACTACGGTTTCGCGTTCCAGAGATCGTGTGGGATGAAATTCTTACATAAAAGCTGTTCTGGCGACTTCTCAACACTGAAGGCCAATACTTGAAACTTCGAAGATTACTTCTGTGATCCAAGACCTATCTCTGATATTTAATGATCCAAGATCTATCTCTGATATTTAAGATATGTCTCTTCAATCCAAACACGGATAGAATTAATACCAGGGTACATATCCGCGTCGTAACAAAATTTATTATTAGCATGACAAAATTACTGGATGCTGATTGGTTGAGAGGAGTACAATTACTTCATTAATTGTCAGTGCAGTACAATTAATGATTTTCCCAAAGCAAACAAAATGGCGGAAAGGTATTTTTAAACAAATGAAATGGCCCTACGCGAACTTAAAGCAAAAGCACTAAAAGAAAATACGAACAAAATACCAACTTTTCGTTGAACGTCTGGCAGGACTGGGCTTTGGCGAGAGAATATGATGTTGACATCGAGAATTGTCATTCTAATATGTAATCATGCGATGTTGCTCGTACAATTAGGGATTAATACAGCATCCGACGCTCGCCTAGATATCCACGCTCGAGGGTTTTGGGAGAAACAAAGGTCCGTGTTCTTTGATGTTAGGGTTTGCCACCCCAACGCGGATCCTACAAAGACCTGAGCCCTCAACAAAAATACAGGCAACATGAAAACGAGAAGAAGAGGATGTATGTCCAAAGAGTGATGGAGATAGAACACGGAACGCTTACACCATTAGTATTTACAACGACTGGAGGCAAGAGTGCAAGAGGTATCATAGCAGATTGGCTGAGCTGATAGCAGCGAAGAAAGGCGAAGACTACTCTACGCCCATGTCCTGGATACGAGCCAAAGTCTCCTTTGCCATCTTGCGGTCAGCTCTACTTTGTCTCCGAGGGACTAGAGCACCCAGGAGGATAACCACGAACCTTCAAGAAACGGACTTCGAAGTAGACAATTCTCGTGCCAAAATTTAGGCTTAGACTTTTAGCATAAATTTTTACTATAACATATATTTTAACATACTACAACAATCTAGACTCACTTCCTTGTATATGCTAGTAAAGAATATATTATGAGAAATAAATGGATTATTATAAAAAAAAGGATTAATAGCACTCGTCATGTTTGAAAATTTTGTCAAATTGGACTCGCCCCGGCGACTCGTCCAATTTTGGCACAATTTCCAAACATCACTCGTACTATTAATCCCTAATTGTACCCGCCATCGCATGACTACCTTTACTAAGCGTAGTGTAGATGGATCTCTTCATTCTTCATTTCCTATAACCAGTTTACTGATTTCAAAATTTTTTAGAGCAAGGCAACACAATGGTACCTGTATCAAATACCCAGAAGATGGAATCTGCTTCAAATATCTCAACATATCTGTCCCGCAATATCGTAATACGCCAAGATTTATCGACTACAGCCTGGGTTTAAACAAAACTAACGAAATATTGGCAATGTTTCAGAATCTCATCACGGTAGTGGGAACTAAAGACTTGACTAAATCATGTCTACGCAGTGCCAGGACATTTCTCTGTCAGTATATTCTATCTCCGTGTTTGGAAGATGGTTCATTCATACAGATATGTCGCCGTGAATGCGACATGTACGAGAGACAGTGTCCTAAGACTTTACAGAAATTGTTAGGTGCGGCCATTGTCCAAATTCATAGCTCAAAAATAGATTTCGCTCACATTTCACTTCCAGGTGATTGTCAGAATCTCGAATATGAAGAAGATTTGGCCAAAGTTGGAAGGCATTGCCATTTAACTGGATTGTTTAGTAAGTAAATAAGTACCAGGCGGTGGTTTAACATGTATTTTAGACTCAACCAAAGCCATCTTAACAGCCTATACACATATAGGGCTTCAGTAACGCAATGGTCGCATCCAACCTCGTTCCCAGGCTCTTTTCTCTGCGCTTACTCGCTTGATGTTGTAAAACATGGACTGGACTATGGATTGGACTAGACTTGTAAAACATGGACTTGTAAAACATCACTGGTAAATCATGGCTTTGTAAAACATGGACTTGTAAAACATCACTGGTAAATCATGGCTTTGTAAAACATGTCATCGATATTCGAGTGAATGTCAGATTAATTTGACTTAATTTGAGCACATTAACCATGTGTACACACAATGCAACTACAAAATATGTTGTCACCCCCTGGCACCACCTTATTTTGCCCTTGGAATTGGACGGACAAAAACGAAACGTAGATGGACCGAGTCAACACAATTTAACTTTATCATTCTTAATATTTAACCCTTTTTGCTTTTGCATAACTATGTTAAATATTTTTACTAACAATATTTTGGCAAGAAAACTTCTTCCAAGGCATGCAACTTTACAAGTCCATGTTTTACAAGTCCATATATTACTACAAGTCCATGATTTAGGGACCGTTCATTTTTTATGGGCATGGGGCTGGTGGAATTCGAGGGGGGTCACCAAAAAATTAATGACATTCCCAGGGGGGTTGCCTAAAAATTTAAAGCATCAAAGGGGTGGGTCACCTTTAATAAATTCAACATTTAAAATGTTATCATGCCACTAATAATGCATGCCACTATACAGTATACGGCTGTTCAGGTCGACTACTAATTCAATGAAAACGGGCCCAAAAGAGGTTAAATGAGACTCTGGAAAATGCAATTTCCGACGATCTAGAGACTTCAAAATCCCAAATTTTACCCCATCGGCGCCAACCATGGTGGCGCCTCGTGGGATTCGGGCATCTCCCATAACAAATGTAAACACATAGAGAGTTGGTCCCGATAATCAATTACCCATTGAATCGCAAAATTATTAATAAATAACTTTTAGTCCATTTACTTGCATTGAAGATTGCGACTATCGATTTCGACACTAAAATTTAATGTTAAAACGGCACAATTGCCCATTCCATGCCATTATACGGCTGGTCCAAATCTTCTAATTTAAATACGGGTCCAGAAGAGGTTAGATGAGACTCTGGAAAATGCAATTTCCGACGATCTAGAGACTTCAAAATCCCAAATTTTCCCCGCTCGGCGCCAACCATGGTGGCGTCTCATGGGATTCGAGCATCTCCCGTTAACAAATGTAGACACGAAGAAAGTTGGTCCCGATAATCAATTTACTCATTGAATCGCAAAATTGTCAATAAAGATCTTTTAGTCCATTTACTTGCATTGAAGATAGCGACTATCGATTTCGACACTAAAATTTAACGTTAAAACGGCACAATTGCCGATTCCATGCCACTATACGGCTGTACAAATCTTCTAATTCAATGAAAACGGGTCCAAAAGAGGTATGGATGAAACTTTGGGAAATGAAATTTCCGACGATCTAGAGACTTCAAAATCCCAAATTTTCCCACTCGGCGCCAACCATGGTGGCGCCTCGTGGGATTCGGGCCATTTTCCATTAATTAACAAATGTAAACACATAGAAAGTCGGTCCCGAAAATCAACCCATTGAATAGCAAAATTATTGTCAATTTTATTAATTTTTCATGCTACTCTGAATACAGTCTACATCGGGTTTAGAACCTGCGAACATTGCTATGGGTTCGAAACCCACCGTGATCAAGCTGATTTTTCAGCTTGCCCGGTGTGGACTGTGCTCAGAATAGCTTGAAAAATTACTATAACACCTAAGTACAAAAATGCACCACAACAAATATATTTTAGTCGCATTCATTTACTCGCATTAAAGATTAGCAGTATATATTTCGAGAATATAATATTAAAACGGCTAAATTGCATTAAATATCATAGTTTGAATGAAAATGTAGACGAATATGTGTAATATTAAATAATTACCTTGCATTTGATCTCTCTTTTTTTTTGCGTGGAAGAGGGGGGAGGGGGGGGGTTACCAAAAAGAAAAGACTACCCAAGGGGTGGGCCAAAGAAAAGAAATGATCTAATGGTGGGGGTCACGAAATTTTCGGGTGACCGACTGCAAAATTCCACCAGCCCCCCCATGCCCATAAAAAAATGAACGGTCCCTTACAAGTCCGAATTTTACAAGTTCATCATTTACAAGTCCAATCCAGTCCATGTTTTACAACATGCCCACAGAGCGCCGTTTCCTTCTGGTTAATAATTTCCGTGTTGAACTCATTACACTAATGTGAAAAGAGTCAGTCAACGCTCTACCGAAAGCCGCGTGTGCTCTCTCTGGGTGCTCTGGTTTCTTCCCACAGGGAATGCAGACAGGGTGGGCTAGAATTAACCTCTATAACTGGTCCATAGCTGTGCTCCGCGGTAAAATGAGATATTGAGACACGAGCCACAATTTAAGGTGGCTGCCTGCAGAATTGCACTAAGGGAAGCCTGACTCGATCACGTTTCAGAGTCCTTCACAATTCAGCTTAGCCCTCAGCTGCAAGTAAAGATAATTAGCGCATTCAAATAACTTACTTGCTAAATTGTATCGCAATATTTTGAAACCTTCCATCATTTTGTTTTAGATTATAGTACATTAAATGTCTCGACCAGCTCTACAACCGACAGTCCCCCAAATGGCATGGCAGCGATCATTGCTCCTGTGATTGTCGTCATCACAGTTTTAGCGGTGGCTTTCCTCCTGTACAGACGACGCAAGAACAGAGAAGAACAAGCTAAGTTGGATTCAGGGACACCATCGTTGAAAATACGCGGTCTCAAATGGTCTATTAGAGATCACATCAATAAGATGTCTGCGGATGACCAGCTAAAGTCTATGATGCCAGTCAATGATGTGAAGAAGATCAAACAGTTTCCAGTGGACAGAATCTCGTATGAGAAAGATCTTGGGGAAGGACAATTTGGACAAGTGTTTCAAGGTAAGAGGAACACTGTGAACGCTGAAATGTGATCAAATCCAAGATGTACTGGCTGGTTACCACCATGTCTGACCATCCCCCTGTAATCCTTCTCGAGTAAGCTAGATGCACAGGAAGATAGATAAATATAAATCACTGCCAAGGTAGAAAAAACTAGTTTTTTTACCAGTACCCTGCTTTTATCTGCTACATCACACGTGCTCAGCAAGAACGCACGCAAAAAAGTCTCGTCTCCATGCAGGTACCAAGAACAGAAAATGTTTGTTTGCTTATTTTGAACGTCCCAAGTTAAAGGACATTGGAAATAAAATTAAGTTTGTCTTATTTGAAAGATCTTTCAAAATGATATATGAAGTCCCGTTTTCCGTATTTTGCTCAGTTTTCGAAATATTTCGACCTGAAATAGCGCGCATGTCCGTCATCTTGGTCTGATAATTAAAATGACGTCACGACTGGGATAAACCTGTTAAAACTTCTCAATATCTAATTGAATTCCATTGAAATATTTAATAAATTGTTGCCAGGTAATTGCAAAATGAAAAGCCTCCAAAAAATCCACGCCTGTCTACCTGCAAAATGATGTGTGGTTGGCAAGATAAATTTCCATGTTTTACCCAGTTGTGCATAGGTTTGCATATCGAATGCATATCCACGATTGCGGACTGCACGATCGTTATTACTAAGCTATTTCAGGTCGAAATATTACGAAAACTGAGCAAGATACAAAAAACTTGTAAAGCGACTTCTACTTCACCTATCATTTTACAAGTTCTTTCAAATAAGACAAACAATGTCCTTTAAGAAAGATTTACTTCGGGTGCCATCTGTCACCAATATGATTTTTTTGCATTTTTTAGGTCGTGCAGTAGGTTTAAACGAAGGCGAAGTTGACTCGGACGTCATAGTGGCGGTAAAAACGTTAAAGAAAGGATCTTCACCTGAAGCGAAATCAGATTTTGACCAAGAAGCTTGTCTCATGAATTATCTTTGTCATTCAAACATCGTGCGTCTTCTTGCGGTCTCCGCCATGGAGGAGCCATACTGTATGATCTTCGAGTTCATGAGCAATGGAGATCTCAGCAAATATCTAAGAAATTCGCAACCGTTGAAAGATGATGAACCAATCGATGATAATAAAAGTAATACGATGTTTGCCTCGAAATCTTTTCAGTGTCCTCCAAGGGAATGCAAATCCCGTATTTCCCTCATTACGCATGCAACGGGCAAAATTACTCCATGTTCTCTAAATTTACCCGGGAAAATTAGTTGAAGACAAAGATTTTTTGTCTACTACTTTCCCTCATTAACCATGCAGGGGCGAGTTAGTACTAAATTTCCCGCTTGCATATCTATATTAGTCAAAAGGCGGTCAAGCAACACGGACAACAACATATTTACTCATATACAGGGTGTATAAAAAAAAGTATACAGTTGGGAAAAGGTCACTTAAATCATATGGGCGCGAAATCTTTCAGTAAACCTAAGTACTTTAACGTTCTCTGATACATCTAGCATTAAAATTATTTGGGAGAAAATCCAGGTTTTGAAGATATCGTGTTGGTTTACGAGTGCACAAATTTTCTTGAAACTTTGATAGCTTGTGCAAAACAGTCCATATTTTGATGCTGTGTGATTAACTTTTGTTTCCGATGAATAATTTTTGTGCGCAAGGCCTTTTTGGGAGGGTTTTTTGTAAAAGTTCTCCCACTCTAAAAAAGCTAGCATTTCAAATAATTTTAATGCTAGATGTACCAGAGAACGTTAAAGTACTTGGGTTTACTGAAAGTTTTCGAAAATTTCGCGCGTGTCTGACTTTAGTGAATTTTTTCCAACTGTATACTTTTTTTGATACACCCTGTATAGACGTGAGACGTCCTCCTAAAAGTTTTTCTCGCCCTCAAACTTTCACAAATCTTCCCTAGGAAGCGGACATCAGTGTAATCGCCAATTTACATCAAACCATGTTACTTGTAATAAGTTGATTATAGGCTTTCTCTAAGACCTATAAATGTTGCCGTAACTATGGACAGGGCCGTACGCAGGAATTTTTCACCAGGGGGGCAGTAAGGCCTATATGCCAAAAAAAGTCCCAAATATCCAAAGAATAATTAATAATGACATTCTAAAAATCGTAAATATAGTTTTCTACTCGGGGAACTACAGCCTGACTATGGACCATATAAGTGGGAGTGTGCTTGTTATCCTTACTTGAAGCTGAGAGCTTGAATTACGAAGGACGACAGCTCAACATGACCACGTTAATGAATTCATCCAAAATGGCGGACATCTCATTGCTTTCAGTCAAAATATTTCAAAAACTAAGCAAGATATGAAAAATCAGTAAAATAGTTTTAAATATGATTTTAAATGCTCTTTCAAATGAGTCAATTTCTGTTAATATGAGTTTTCATTTTCGTTACCCTTTAATTAAAATCCCAACCCAGTCGGTCATGTTGTCAATATTGCCCGTGGGAGGAAACCAGACCACCCTGGGAAAACCCACGACGGCATGACTTTCGTTAAAGCGTTGGCTGACCCAGTACAGAAGCGTTGGCTGACCCAGTACAGATATTTTAAAAACTGTCATGAATTTGGAGAAAAAACAAACCATCAGTCAGAGTTGAAAAGTGTACTGAAGCCCAACTTTAGTAAAACAAGTAAAATAAATACTATGACGACACTAATTATTGAACTGCATTTCACTATTTCATGTCACTATTTCATTTCATGTCACTATTTCATTTCATGTCCACGATATGCAGTTATAAAATACAGTTTTCTGAGCAGTCAGAGAACTGTATTATTTACTTGTGCTGTGCAACTGCATGTTGGGAAGCGTTTGGTCAGACAGTAGTGAGTATGGAAAGGTTCAACTTTGTTTACACGGCTCTGGAGAAGTAAGATTACAGATAATTATAAATCGAAGATTTTTCGCCGCTGTTCAAAGTATACAGTCGATACGAATCGTTTCTCCATACCAAACGTTTGACCAAATGCATATATTCTCATCTTTATTTCTGTGTGTGTCCGCAAGTGAGAGCCCAAGATAAGCAAAATGCTTTTGACTCAAACTTGCAATTTTGTTGTAAATATCCTTTTCCTTTTAAGTTCTTTGTATGTTTGCATGGTGATAAAATATAATAGGTTTTGTTTGTGGAAACACCACGTAAATATGTACTAAATATGTACTATGCAGTAATAAATTTACGTGGTGTTTCCACAAACAAAACCTTTTCCTTTTGTTGTTATTAAATAATTAGGTTTATATCAACTGCATTTTCTAGACAAGCTATCACAAACCACATTGATTCACATGTGTATTGATATCGCGAGAGGACTGGAATATTTAGCAAGTTATCGTCTCATACACAGAGATATTGCAGCAAGGAACTGCTTGGTTGCAGATGATTTGACCATCAAGATAGCAGACTTTGGAATGTCGAGAGATATTTATTCCAAAAGTTATTATCAAGTAAGTGGATTTTTATAGTGGATTTTGTATTATTTCTTGTCTACAGTATGTTCATTGTGTAATAAATTTTGTATTTTTCTGCAATAACGAACACTGATGAGAGTTTCAAACAAAAGAGTGTGTAATTAGTCATTTAAACCCTCTTTACTCAAGGGATGATATCGTCGTGATAGTGCTATATTTTCTTTTTCTTTGCTAATTAATTGGGCCACCTGTACGGATATTTATAGTAGGAGGCAAGCACTTTTGAACCTCTAGCTAAGTACATACTATATGCTTTGTAAAACCACGAAGTGAAAAAAAAAAAATGTTGTTGCTTGCAATATTGCAACATTTATTTGAGAGTACCAGGTGATTCTTTTTTCTGAAACTCTAATTTCTTTTTTGTCCATTATTCTTTTTCGAGTTCAATTATCAAGGACACTACAAGAAGTTAATAATAATAATAATGGATGTTTATTGAATCTCTCTTGCAGTATATTTACGCTGAATTAACGAGTCCAAAGTATTACTATAAAACTATATTTACATAATTATATATATACAACTGTTATAGAACTATGTATAAACATTAAAAATATTTAAAAGTAAAAAATTGTTCAGATCTTAAGGTTCTGCAGTAGTTGTGTTCTTTAGTTGTAAATAGCCTGAGGACGGGCCGTAGTGAAACTACTCGAAACGTAGCAAAAATAAAATATTTTAAAAATTCTTGTAGTATCCTTGATGACTGAACTCGAACAAGAATAATGAAGTACCAGGTGAACCAAAATATTTACTAATTATACTAGAGAATTAACTTTAAATTTACCATTGTAGATCGGAAGAGACACATTTCTGCCAGTTCGTTGGCTTTCACCGGAAGCAATATTGTTCGGTAGATATACAGTTGAAACAGATGTTTATTCTTATGGTGTATTACTCTGGGAGGTATTCACCTTCAGCATGCAGCCATATTATGGTTACACCAATAAAGAAGTGCTGAAACTTATTACCAAGGTTAGCAGAATCTATACTGTAGTTAACAAAGAACAAGTGCCTTATTCGTACTTTAGAGGTAATATTTAGCGAGACTTTAATTTCGCGATTTTTTAGCAAAAATAAAAAAGTGGATTCAATTTCGCGAAAGGAACTGAAACATTTTATTTAAAAAAATGAACATGTTTTACAATACAACTATAAACAATAACAATAAAATGTCTATATACAGTACAATAAAAAGGAGAGAAATGCACAATAGGCAGCAGGATATGTTGCTGAAACAGTTGAAGCAGGTTCTTTTCATTTTAAACTCGTTTACACTATAGAGTTTTTGACTTTTTTGCATGAAATAAAATTGTTGTACAAATGTTGTTGATTTTTCTTTCGTCGCTATATAACAAAACACTTAATGTCTGTTCCCTCGGGAAATAGTCAGTTTCCCCTCGAATCTCAATGTTTCCCTCGACTACGTCTCGGGAAACATTGAGACTCTCGGGGAAAACAAAACTATTTCCCTCGGGAACCGACATTAAGTGTATAATGTATAATATATTCAAAGTGTATTCTCGTTCGTAATAGACCTTTCCCCTTATAACCAAAATTTTGATCTAGGCAAGTTTAGACAACTATTATATCACATCTTATATCACATCTTGAAAGAGCATCATAAAATTAGTAATATTCCAAAGTTTCGTTGCGAAATGTTGTAAAATGCGGATAATATAGCCTTGCGAAATTTGCAATTTTCAGTCATTTTGTATTACAAATGGGAAATTGACATCCCAACACCCGAATCGGATGTCAATTTCCCGTTTGTAATACAAAATGACTGAAAATTGCAAATTTCGCAAATCCATATTATCCAACATTTCGCAACGAAACTTCGGAATATTATTAATTTTGTGATGCTCTTTCAAGCTGTGGTGAAATATTTGTCTAGATCGAAATTTTAGTTATAAGGGGAAAGGTCCATTGGGCAAAAAGTTTGCAAAACGCGTCGGATAATTCTCGGTATTGAAGCCGTCGCGTTATTTCAACTGCTATACGCTATCAACGTGCAACTACTTTTTTGGCCCGAAGTTCGGTCCAAAAAAGTATATTTGCACGCTGTGGTTACGAAGCCCCAGCGCGGTCATTGTTTGCCATAAAAAGTGCGCGAAAATTCCATATTTTTAAAAGCGTAAACAAAATGGTTTTGCTTTCTTTCTAGCTTTTGAATATATAATAAAACAATTATTGAATACGGTTTTCGTATGATATCGAGAATTATCAAGGCCTTGGTTTGAGTTATCCACCTCAGCCTTCGGTGGATAACTCAAACCTTGTCCTTAAATTCTCGATACCAAAGTCAACCTCATTCAATAGTTACAAGAGTGTGTTGTGCACTGTTTTCGCCATGTTCCCGGTTTGGTCTATAAAATTGTATATATATCAACCTCGACAAATTCCACCACCTTAGTATAAAAACTCATTCAATAATTGTTTAATATTGTATTTTCCCCCAGAGTATTCATTTGGCCAAGCCAGAGTTTTGTCCAAATTTTGTGTACCAGATCATGAAGAAGTGTTGGTCTGAGGACCCAGAATTACGACCTCACTACGACAAAATTATCGACGCTTTGAATGGAGCTAAATCAATAAACGACACGCCTAAATCACGTGAACAACCTGAGAGTGAGATGCAGCCGGAGTATCAGAATTTTATCTCACTTGGTAACAACGGTTAGTAACTGTATTTATAATATAACATTTATAGTACGCGCGCGCTGATTGGTCGAGAACTCATGCTTCTATTTAACAATTAGTCGCCGAAGGCTAGTCACTGAGCCAAAATTGTTTTATTAGTAATTTTTGAAGAGGAAACATACACAGAAAGTTATGAGGACAGTTGAAAAGGCTACAAGACAAAATTAAGCGCTTTTATATAAAAACATGCCGGCAAAAGCAACACTCGCTACGAGTGTCAAAACATCAAAGCAGAAAAAAACAGTTTCGTGAGAAAAATACTTTGAAGATGCACAACAAAAGAGAATGGTTTTAAAAATATATCACAGCTAGCTTTTTGCTGAATATATCATCCTTCAATTTAGCGGCATTATTATATAATTCTATTTCAAGCTTTAAATCAGGCTCAAAAAACGATTTTTGTTTTGAATTCAGCAACTCGCGAAGACGCCATTTTGAAAAAAAGTTATAGTCATTGACCAGTCAGTGACCATCAGTTTTTACAAGCTCATTTTTGACCAATCAGAATGCAGGAAAAATTATAGTCACCTCAAAATTTCTACTAAAACTGTATAGAAACACGGAAAGTTTCCCGCCAAAACTTAAAATCGTGAACAAAACAATGCAAAATCGTGAACAAAACAAAAAAATTTTCAACCAAAGTCGGGTTTTTGAAGTAAAATTGATGAGAAAAGGTCAGCGTGCGTACGTAATGAGAATTTATAAATTAATCGAGTTTAAAAATGTCTCTTGAATTATATTCATCATTCGCTTCTGTTTGATGTTTCGATGTTTCAGCTTTTGTTGTGTCATGTTGTTCGTTGTATTGTGATATATTGTACAATGCGCACGTGTCCATTGTTATGAGAGAGATGCCTTGCATGGGTCACTCCATTTTTCCCTTCAGGGCCATTTGTCTGTATTTATATTGTGGTTCCAATAAAGTTGTTAAATTAAAATTAAATATGAAATAAAAAACATATTTCTGATTCTACTAAAACAATAAGATTACTCGCTCTCAATTTCTATGACATGATAGTTGATACGGGCTTCGCCCTTATCAACTATCACCTCATAGAAATCTCGAGCTCGTAATCTAATTGTTAGATAGAATCATTTGTGGTAGAGTTGGGAGAACTCGAAATAACGTCAAAAACTTGCCCTACAGTATATACGGGATCGTTTTCTCCCAACGGAAAATGTTTTCGGCTATTTCTTAAATATAGCAAGAGTCTAGCATCGATAGCAGAGATTTTAGGGCTAGGGTTAATTTTAGGCTTAGAGGTAGGATTAGGGTTTGCTATATTAGGTGTCTGGGGTGATCACCCCGTTCACATGCGACGTTCTAAATTTTAGAACTCTCGCTATATGCGATTTCTAACATGCGGAACGGTTGACCGGGTAGCCGATTCGGCGTTACGCGCCTCACTGGCTATCAGCTCATATTCGACTCGAGTTCGTATAGAATAACTGTTAAATAGCCGAACAATAATTCTGTTGTGAACCATTTTTTCCCCTTAGCATTTGACGCAAAGTCCAGTGGAAGGAATGACACCCACGAATATCCGTTAATTAAATCTGCACAACCGTCAAATCAACCTGAAGCTCTCAAGAAAGAAGGATCATCAAGCAGCAGTCAAGGAGGTGTTAACTCTGGATTGGATTTTGACTCTGAACAAGTTGACGTTGTGGAAAGAAGACCAAGCAATCAATCGGACACTTTGAACAAATAAGCAAAACGTACGCCTAAAAAGCCAGAATTCTGCACGATGCAGTTTATCCTCTTTGTTTTTGAAAGACTAAACTGTTTTGAATATGTGCAGGGAATGTTGACAGGGTGGGTTGTGATCTAATTATAACCCTTCCACCGTAGCTGCATGTGTTCCATGGTCAGACATAAATCATAAAGTGGCTCTCAGAGACGCCTTAAGAGGCTGTCTCCGTAAAAACCTCCAGGTCAGTATGGGGCTCAAAAATAGATTTCTCTCATACTCTAGTATTTTGAAGATCTATCCTTGGGAACAACTAAAATCGATGTCATTTTACTCAAATTTCCTTTAAATTATTTTTGGGGGCGATTGATGTTCGATCGACTGGTAACCAACTTGATACTCCGAATGAAGGCCAAATATCGACATATTTTCAGCGCTATTTTTTAAATTAAATTCATACCTAAATTTCAAAATTTTTGCTCAGAAATATAGACTTATCCTTCTATTTTCGCGGGTGATATGACTTAGATCATTATTCTTTGGTATAGAATAGAAAACAGCGCAGTTATTGACCCTCCTGAACGGATAAAGGATATCGTCTCAAAATATGTCAACTTCGAAAGCTTATTTCAAAATCGTGGCACTTGATTGGCACATGACTTTAACTTTTCTATAAACTACTAACATTAGTCAACACAAATCGCCAATAACATCTTTCTGCTCTACCATTTGACAAAAATGACAAGCGCGCAAACTTTGTAAAATTTGAAAATGTGTCGAAATCGAGCATACTTTATCGGTAAACATAATTCTTGATATTAACAAATAAAACCACCTTACACTACACTGAATGAAGCTTGATTATGTAAATATATGTCTTTCATCATTATTCTTTGGTTTTGCACTCGAATGAAATTGTTAGTGACTGTACAGTTTGGCTTCAAGGATAGTCATTCAATGCCAGTGTGTCCAGTGTGTTCAAATTCTGCGCGCCTCAATGCCATGACGGCATCAGTCTTGATTGTGACATACGAACTTCGCTCTGTTCGCTTTGTTTACCTCCTGTAAATAAAATGTCTCAAAGAAATTAGAAAATTCAGAATTAGTCATACTACAGACATAACTTTCATTGGTTTGTTTACCTTATAAACTGTTATATAAAGTTTCGTTTTATAGAATGTACGAATTAATCTCGGGGAAAACTCCTAACCGAAAGAAATCTACTCGCTGAGCGTAAACATGTCAATCAAATGACGATGAAATGTTTCGTTGCTCTCTGATTTCCCTTTCTTTGTATTGAATTAAATAGTAGTCTTGACAGTATTGCACGAGGTTTTTGTGTTTACAATAATGGTGTTCTACTTCTACTACAGCCGCAATCTGTGATCATGCAACGTTAAGGCGCTGTCACACTATTGCGTATGAGAGAACGTATGAAAACCGTATGAAAATTACTGAAATCATTTTCATACGCACAAAAATCCTTTGAAATGCCAGCGTATGAGTACCGTACATCTGGCGTACCTCTAGCGTATTCAGCGTGTGCCTAAAGTATGCTTATCTTATAAAGGATACGTCCAATACGCACAAAATTTTTGAACATGCTTAAAAAAAAATTTCTGCCTCGGCGTATGCCAGCGTATGCAACCGCATGCGACCGTGCTTGAAACGTATATAACCTATGCCTAGCGTACCCCTAGCGTATGTCAGCGTATACCGGCGTATGAGTGATATTTTTCATACGCTGGCATACGCTAGGTAAACCTAAAGGCCTAAGGCCCTGTCACACTAATGCGTATGAGAGAAACGTATGAGAAGCGTATGAAAATCAATGAAATAATTTTCATACGCACAAAAATCCTTTGCAATGCCAGCGTATGAGTACCGTACATCTGGCGTACCTCTAGCGTATTGAGCGTGTGCCTAGAGTATGCTTATCGTATAAAGCATACGTCCGATAGCACAAAATTTTTGAACATGCTTAAAAAAATTTTCTGCCTCGCCGTATGCCACCGTATGCGACCGTGCTTGAAACGTATACAACCTATGCCTAGCGTACCCCTAGCGTATGTCAGCGTATACCGGCGTATGAGTGATATTTAGAGTGATATTTTTCATACGCTGGCATACGCTAGTACGATACGCAATAGTGTGACAGGGCCTTAAACGATTTCGACAGACAGTAGATTTTATTTTGACAGATGAGAATCATGACGGTAAGCAATATTAAATGTAGAAATGTTCCTTTTCTACTTCTGAGTGTGGAAAATTCCGAGACACAGTAGACTGTTCTTCGAAGTTGCTGGCGTGTAAGAATGACATTAGTTATCACTTGCAAATTTGTCACCCTTTAAAGCTTGTCGGGAAGAAGAATATAAATTAATTCTAATTTTCAGAACCTTTCTAATTGTTACTGAAAAAAGTAATCACATTGATTAAATAACTGAGACGTTCAAATGGGTTACAGCTGTTTGCGCTGAATTGTTTTGTATTATATCAAAATATTCGCATATTTTTATACAATAAGAAATAATGTAAATTCTTGAAGCATAGCCTTGAGCAAAGTGACCCAGGGTCGGCTTGAAAAAGTTGATTTTTTTTATACAGAACCGTGACTTACTTGAATTCTAGTTTCATTGATAATTGTTTCTAAACCTAGAGACAATTCAGTTGCTAGAAAACTATACTGAGCGAAACTAACGAAATATTGACATTTGACATCATTGCCCGGGGTTTTCCCCGAGATTTAATTCGTACATTCTAACGAAACTTTTATAAAACAGTTTAAAACGATGAAAATTCTGTCTGTAGTATGACTAATTCTGAGTTTTCCAATTTCATTGAATATTGTTATTTGTTAAACATGTATTTGTTAAAGAGGTAAACAAAGCGAACAGGGCGAAGATTGTATAGTATGTCACAATCAGGACTCGTGGTATTGAGGCGCGCAGAAGACACTGGACACACTGGCATTGAATGACTCTATCCGTGAAACCAAACTGTACTCAAACAATTTGATTCAAGCGCCAAACCAAAGAATAATGATGAAAGACATGTATTTACATAATGAAGCTTCATTCAGTGTAGTGTAAGGTGATTTTATCTGTTAATATCAATAATTATGTTTACCAATAAAGTATGCTCGATTTCGACACATTTTCAAATTTTACAAAGTTTGCGCGCTTGTCATTTTTGTCAAATGGTAGAACAGAAAGATATTATTGGCGATTTGTGTTGACTAATGTTAGTAGTTTATAGAAAAGTTAAAGTCATGTGCCAATCAAGTGCCACGATTTTGAAATAAGCTTTCGAAGTTGACATATTTTGAGACGATATCCTTTATCCGTTCGGGAGGGTCAATAACTGCGCTGTTTTCTATTTTATACCAAAGAATAATGATGTAAGTTGTATCACCGACGAAAATAGAAGGATAAGTCTATATTTCTGAGCAAAAATTTTGAAATTTAGGTATGAATTTGATTTGAAAAATAGCGCTGAAAATATGTCGATATTTGGCCTTCATTCGGAGTATCAAGTTGGTTACCAGTCGATCGAACATCAATCGCCCCCAAAAATAATTTAAAGGAAATTTGAGCAAAATGACATCGATTTTAGTTGTTCCCAAGGATAGATCTTCAAAATACTAGAGTATGAGAGAAATCTATTTTTGAGCCCCATATTGACCTGGAGGTTTTTACGGAGACAGCCTCTTAAGACGCCTGTTCAGGAGGTAGGAAAAGTCCAATTTGAATATCAAACATCTTGCACAAAGTCGAAGGGCGGCTGAAAGTTCTAATTCTACTTTCTTGGCATGGGTGGTTTTATATGAATATCTTCAATGCTTGTAACGTCTTGCTGTTGTATAATTATAATACTGTCAGTGGTGAAGCTAGCCATAGCAACAGGTCATGCTATGCAAATTTTTAATGATTTGCATTATTCAAATAGATGCAGGTTTATCAGTATAGTATGCATATGGCCAGTTGCCATGGCTACCTTGCCACTGAATACTGTACAATGTTTATATAAAAATACTAAGGGCCTGTTTACATGGAGGCGAGTTACCCGGCAAGGCGAGTTACTCGGCAACGGTGAGATCCCGGCTGTTATAGAAACTAATAGTAATCCCGGGTGGCTGTTTACATGATGCAGCCGGTGACTGTTTACACGTGCTTTGCCATTGAAATATAATAGCTCAAAAATACATACGAATCAATAGATAAGTTTTCCTGAATTGCTCGGCAATTATTCTTGTACTTTCACTATATTTTGTAATGTTTTTAGCGTTTCAAACGACTTAAATTCTTTTTCTGTTTTGGCGCCATTTCGGCTTCATGCGGCAATCATGCGACAAATGTCGAGTAACTTGGTTCCATATCAGAGGAGGGTGGAAGCTCTTCCCAGCATGCATTGCAACTCATTAATATTCACAATCATGATTTTTCACAATGTTAGTTGGAAAAGTTGTGGATATTTATTTCGATATTTCGCCACGAAAAGTTCGTATTTTTGAAGGTAAGTTTTTATAATTGTTTTAAATATGAGTCAAATTAACAATTTTTGCTTTATTTGGTGTTTTAACAACGTTTAGTTATATGTTAATCGCAATTTGTATTGACCTGTTTTCCGGGTCAATGCACAAGTGTCAAAAGTGGCTTTCAAAACCGCTGGGGACAATTGGGTTTATAAATGAGTAAATTAAATAAAAGACACGCCATCGTATTCAGGAAGAGTTGTTCTTTCTATGAGATGTTTAAAAAATGAATTGTCCCCATCAAACTGACGAGTAATCGCGGTTTGAAAATGGGGCATTTTCGATATACTATGTCGCCCATCGCGGGAATAGTCGACCGCATGGGAATTATGGCGCGAAGAAAATTACTGTACGAGTCGTTATTATTTTTGTTTTATTTCGAAGCATGCGCATATATGTCGATCGTTGTTGAGTTTAACTGCTGCTTTTAAGTTAAATACACTGTATTTTACCATTATTTTTATAGAATTCGAATATATTTTGTGAA